ACTTGGGTTTTTGGGGAAGTGAATCTTTTCAAACCCATCAATCCAGTGGTAACATTATGCTCTTAAGGTTCCTAACTAAGAAACTTCATTGTTCCAATACCAGACCGAACTGAGCTCCGTCCAAAATCTGACTTTGAAAGACCAAGCAAGTTTTTTTTTTTTTGTTTTTTTTTAAGCGATTTGTTTAAAGACTGGGTTACATACAATTAAGTAATCTAATTAAATGCTTCTTAGTGGCATTCTCCTGCCTTGATTAAACAGTCTATCCTTTGTAATGAGCCACCCTCCAGTTTAGGGGATACATTTCAAAATCATTTAAGTTCTGAACTTAAGTTCTTTGGCAGGATTCATTACACACTAGTTAGAATCTCTTGAGGATTGCAAAAAAAGTTTTCTCAACAAAGTAGGTCATCTTATAGCAAACATGTCAGAGCAATTCACATAAATAAAACTAAGAACTGTGGGTGCTGGAAATCCAAAACAAAACCAAAAATTGCTGGAAAACTCAGCAGGCCTGGCAGCATCTGCAGAGAGGAAGCAGAGTTAACATTTTGAGTCCAGAGCAATTCACATGCCTTGTTCAGGGCTTGTCACAAAGTGGGCAAATATGGCAGCCATTTGCACACAGCAACACCCCATAATCAATGCTGAAAATTATGTTTCGTTCACTTATTTCTGGTAGTGTTGGTTGCAGGAGAAATAGTGGCCAGGGCACTGGGAGATCTCCTTTTTCATCTTTGAATTTTGCTGTGCGATTGTTAATCTCTCAAAACACCAGAACAAGAACACAGGCATTATTACCAACTTTACATCCAAAGTACTGCATCACGGTATTGACCTAGATAAAGTGTTTAAGTCTTGCATGTGAATAGGTTAACCAAAATTGAATTGCGTCATTTGATACATGAGATGTTTACACATGATGGAAGACCTATGCATTTTGAGAAGCATTGAGGATATTGGACACTGAAAAGATGTTGATCATTGTTTGTAGGAAGCTGGAAGATTTAGATGCTCAGAACCGGGAGCTGACTCAGGTGGTCACGAAACGAGAAGAGACCATTCAACATAACCAGCAGCGATTAGAGGAAAAATCCCGTGAGTGCACCAGCCTGGCTAGACAGCTGGAGGCTGCCATTGAAGATGCCAGACGGCAGGTCAGTTCAGTGAGATGTTACCAAATGTGAAACAGGAGGAGGCCTGTCAGGCCTTTGATCCAGCTTCTCCATTCAATTGAATCATGGTTGATCTGCGTCTTAACTCCATTCACCTACCTTTTGATAATTAACTCTCAATACCCTTGTCTACGAAAGTTATCAATCTCTATCTTAAAATTTACAGTTGACATAGCCTGTTTAAAACATGTTCACCTCAAAACATATTCTTCACTTGGCAATAAACTGCTATTGTGGAGCCACTGACTGCAACCTGTATTTACTTAGAGCAGTTATAATAAAAAAATTGATGGTTTTAAAGTAATACACGGAAAGTGGAGCCAAAGGCAACTTTAAGTAATCGGCTTTCAAATTCTACAAATTGAGTTCAAAGCAAATTCATATTTTTCTCAGCAAAAATGTTGTGATCAGGAATACACCACCTGAACGGGTGATGGAAGTGGGCCAGTGGCCTTCTGAATCATGTCACTTTTATTCAGCAAACACCAAGCATAGTAAACTGCTATGCTTGATCATATTTTGATCATCTTGTATGCATTACACTAGAGTTAATATTTAAGGACTTTTTAACTCTTTTGGATTGCTGTCTTGGAGATCACCCTCAAGTAAATCCCATTCAACACTGATCACAATGCCATTGCAGACCCATCAAAGTTAACAGTTGAACCAGTTTTGACGATGAAAATATCGGAGTGTATCCAGCACAGAGAATGCTGGAGAAACTCAGCAGATCTGACAGTGTATGTGGAGAGAGAAATAGAGTTAATGTTTCAAGTCTGTTATGACTCCTCAGTTCTGAAGAAGTCATATTGGACTCAACATTACCCTGTGTTTTTCTCTCTACAGAAGTTGCCAGAGCTGCTGAGTTTTTCCAACATCTTGTTTGTTTCAGATTTCCAGCATCTGCAGTATTTTGCCTTTGTTCCAGTACATGCAGCATGTCTGCTGATTGATTGTGCTCTGTTTTAACAGTAAAACTCTGTATCCTTATGGTGCCTGGCTCCTGATCGTGTAAAGGCGAGACAGCCAGACATTGAGGTTGCTTTCCCAAATGACAACCCAGTAGCCATAAATGTAAACACCGTAAACCAACTTGACAAGTGTCCTCATGGAAAAGATAACTTTTGGTGTAGGAGCTCTATTTTACAAATTTGAGAGCATTCAGTCAATCCTTTCTCTTAAAATTCTTTACCACCCATTTATTGCTACTACCTGCTTTTTTGCTATAGCTCTGTAATTATTCTTTTGCAAGTGTTTCCTCTTGAAAACTGGCAACTTTCCTCTAGCAATTTGCTATCTTAAAATTCCTTCTCATTTCCTTACAGTCCCTCCCATGTGATTTTCTTTTTTTTTTGTTTGCTAGTTATCTTAAATCTGTTTTGTGTGGTAACTGGTCTTCCAACTGGTAGTAGAAACTGAAATTCCAGGTCAGATTGTCAGCAAGAAAACTTTTGTCAGAGTGACCAAATACATCTGTTTGACTAGGTGGACCAAACCAGGGAGAGAGCTCTGTCAAAAGAACGAACCACACAGAGCAAAATAATGGACCTTGAAACACAGCTGAGCAGAACAAAAACGGAACTGACTCAGCTACGCAGGAGCAAAGATGATGTAAGTCTGTTACAAATATGCATTTTTAAAAATAAATATTAAGTTGTTTTGGTTCTGTCCGATGGCACAAGGGGTTGGCTTTAAGAACAAACAAAAAGAATCCTAACTATTGGCCACTGAGAGTGGAACTGGCCAGCATTGTGATTGGAAGAGTAGCAAGCATGGGCGAGTCAGAACTGATTTTCCCCTGCTCCCACTTTTGCAGTTCCTCCAATCAAGAGTTCTGTACCTCATGGAGCAGCAAAAAAATGGATCAGAGACTCTGGGTGAGTTGCAGCAGCAAGCATAGGTGAGACAGAGCCTATGGTTGGGAGAACAGATTAGTCTCTCCTGTGCTTGCTCCTCCAATCACAACTCCAGCCAGTCCCAGGAGACTTTCAGCTTGTCCAATCAATTACCAGGCTGCTGATGGCTATAGCGAAGACTTTACTGTTCTTATCTCATGCCACTGTTAGGGGTAAGGTTCCCAATTATGCTGCCCTAGTGATTGCTGTTACCGACTCTATCGCTTGTGTTCCGTCGTAGCAGGGTACTCATCTTGGGGTAGAAGGCCATCACGTATTTGCACTTGGGGTGAGCCCTATTGTTGAAGTTGAAGCAACTCTCCTGATACCCCAAACATTTGGGAGTACCTACAAAATACCTCCATTCACACCATCTCTGGTGTTCCTATGAATATTGAAATTTGAGCACGCTCTGTCCTGTCAGTATTGATAAACTTACTTATAAGCAAAGTTCCCCAAGGCAAAATTAAAGGCATTTCATACAAGGTGTGTTTATGGGTCAGTTTATATCACTGGCCGTAGAGGATCTGTATGTTGGAAGTTGGCAGCACTAGAACAATGTAAAAGTGGCTCCAAAATCTAAATCACCTAGCTCCACTAGTTGGAAGAGAATAGCTTCTTTCATTAATATTCCCTGTGGCCTTTATATTACATTGCTGGTCAGTGATTCCTTTTAATTTGTGAATTTGCTCCATGGGATCATTCAGGAGGAAAGTGCAGTCCTTAATTGTAAATGCAGCATATTGTGTACCTCTTTGTTGCTCAAAAAACCCACCTGTCTTTATGTTTGTGCACATGTCTGTTTGTTTTGTCAATGCAAATTGCTAACATCCACCCAGTCAGATCTTTATCTTATATCCTTATAGAGGACTGGGATATGGTTTTGCAATGTCAACAAAATATTTTGTATGAAATAACTTCCTTGTTAAAAATCTTTTTGACTCCGTGTTGGTTGGACATTTTATCCTAATGAACCAAAGTATAAAAGCTGCATTCCTAAAATTATCAGAATTCTTTGAGGACTAACTTTAATTTGAAGGAAGAGGGTTAATTTTTAAAGGGTGGTTATAGCATGTAATGGGATCATTGTTTGTGTGCTTGCATAGTATTTAGTATTTTCACACTAATGGTTTTTAATCCCTTTTTATCTGTTCATTGTTCCTTCCACCGTCACCATCCCCACCCCCAAAACTTTCAAATTTTCTAAATGTGCCTTTCAGTAAATTTGATTATGTTTGAAGGTAACATTTATTTGCCAAATTTTCCTCTGTGCAAGCACAAATACCAAATCTTCCAACAATTTAAATTTCTTGTCACTACATTAATTATAAGTTTTTTGTGAAGTGTTGGTAACTGTTTATGTCACAGTACTTTTACAATTCCAGCCATTTGAATTGGCCTAGCAGCATTTGCATGTCACCACAGATATTAAAAGTACAATAATTTTCTGGTTCCTCAGTGACTTCAGGTGAGGTGAAAGGGTGAGGTATGGGAATAAGAGCAGATTACTTAAGAGCCTGCGCAACTACTTTCATAGCTAAATGTGTGATGTACTTACTGGTATCTTACTGACTGCTGCAATTGTAATTGTGTCAAGTCCAATTTGTGTAAAATTGCTTCTTAGGCTGAGAGGCGTTTCCAGAGCCGCTTACAAGACCTGAAGGATCGTCTGGAACAGTCGGAATGCACCAACCGTAGCATGCAGAACTATGTCCAGTTCCTCAAATCTTCGTATGCAAATGTATTTGGTGATACTGCTTTAACAAGCTCTCCACTCCAATCTAGATCACCTCTCTGAGAATCTCTTGCAGTATCAAAAAGTGAACTTACTGAATTTTACTCCCGCTTTTACTCTTTTTAGGAGTCTGGAGCTATAAATGATCTTAAAAACCACACCATGTGAAGCACGTTCTTATGAACTGGTTAATATCGTAAACAATGCAGACTCTCGGTCAGTAATCACTCCAGCCTCGAGTGAACTTGTCCTAAGTTTAAAAAAACTTGTCAAATGGGTCCAATCATAGGTTCCCAGCTCTGTAGAATTAGTACGTGAATTATTCAGGATAGTCCGGAGTTTCGGATCAATGTATGCAAAATTGATAATGCCCTAATGTATTAGAATTGTGATTTGTTCATCTAGTAGTAAATTACTTTGCATGGCACACTGACCATAGGTAACAGTGTCCACTTACCTTGTATTTAATCTTTCAGATCCAAGGGTTAGATTTGCAGCAAACTTGCGTACAGGAACGCTGCTGTGATTTATTGCTAGCATTCTTTTTCCTACTAAGCCAGTGGGTCTGTTGACCGTTCGACTAAACTCAAGTTGAAGGAAGGAAAGGCTGGTTAGATTTGACTAGGAGGATTTGCTGTTTCTTAGTCATTCCTTGGTATGCCACAAATCAGTGCCTCACATTCTTTGATTTTCATTTTTGGCATCTCGCCAGCTTTGTGTCCTCTTCCCCACTTTCATTTCATTCAATAGCCCCAAACAATCCAATTTTTGCTTGCTTGGTATCTCCTACACAATTACATGTCCTCTTAGACGTTGAATTTCAAGATGTAATTTCTGTTAAATTGAACTGCAGAAGACTTGGGCTGATGGTTGTTTCCTAGTATTTGTCCACTGCAAATGGGGACATCTGGTCCTTTAAACAGTGCTCATTTTTGATATTTCAGCAAGTTATAAAGATCCTTTGCAACATTCCCAATTGCAACTTATAAAATTCTTTTAAAATAAATGAACTTGCAAAATTAACACTGAGGTCAAGAATAATATAAGTCTTTTCCCTTGGTTGTGGGTGAGCATTTGTAATGAAAACTACTAGTCAGTCACCTGTTCATCTAATACTTTAAGCTACTTCAGCATAGAATTTTTCTGGTTCTGTTTCCTGCTAGTTTCAGATATTAAACAAATACTTTAATTACTTTTCTGGTCAACTGCTTGTATTAAAACAAATTAGTCTGAAGTTCCACCCGTTCAGTCAATATGTACTTTAGAAAATGTATTTATTTTTAATTTATGTAAACAAAGAGCCATGTGTGAATGTGCAATAGTCCTTGTTGCACTTAGCCTTGGGTTAGGCAGGCACTGCAGAAAAGTCTGATCAAACCCTCAGTACCAACTTACCTCGTTTGGATAAACATGGTAGAAGTCACCAAAAATGTCAATGCAAATTACTTTGTGAAGTTCTGATATTAACTGACTTTGAAGCCCTAGATATTTTTGGATCCATTTAATAACTTATAATACAAATACTGGATCACATCTTCTGTGCTGACTACAGTCATTTTCTGTGTCATGATTTTTCTTTCGCTTTCATAGCTGATGTGATTCATTTCTTGTAGGATGGCCTTGGTGAAGTTCAGTTGGCCTTAGAACACCTTTGTCCAAATTGGCAAATCATTCAGCCAAAAGCTGCTTAAATGCTGTGGACTTAAACTCGTATTACTGAGGAAATAGTTTGAAATTAATGACTTTTTTTGAGTTACTGGAGAAAGTGATTGTCGGAGACACCAGTTGGTGCATGACTCTCCCATTTATTTTAAAGTAATGTATCCTTCTGCATATTTGGAGTATTAAACAGCACTTCTGTTGAATTTGAGATCAAAAATATTGCTTAACTATTCCATGATATTAAACTTAAGTTGAGGGAAATAACAAATGAGTTCTATATTTATACACATTGATAACTTTACACTTCAGTTGCAATTCTCAGATCTGTCGATCTATATAAACCATGTTCAGCAGAGCTGTAGTGAGCCACCGCACATCAATCCATGCCCACTCCAATAAATCTCCTGTGCAAGGAAGCCAGAAAGGTGGTGGATTTGCTGGGGGGGGGGATGGTGCAAGAACTTGAGTCTGAAATGGTACAACTCCCTCATAACTGGTACATGTAGGTGTGTATCAGTACATGGAGCACTAACTCAAATTCCACTGTGTTCAAATGACAATGGTCTTCTAACAGCTTTGACTGGTAACACATCCTCTGAGTGTATACTTCATACAACTCATTGTAGTCATTTTTAATTGCTAGGGTCTGAATATCTGTAACATGTTCTTTGAAAGGTACTGCTGGGGAACATTTTAAAACCAGCAAATATCCCATGACATTGCCGTGATGTTTATCAGCACATGTTCTCCTTTTCCTTAAAGGTTACAGTCCTAAACTCAAATAACCCAAAACTGCTTGAAAAGTTCACAATTCTGAACATTGACTTTCTTTGTGTCTTCTCAGAGCAAACAATCTCTAACAATTAGTCTACGTAAGATCCAGTCTGGAGATGATGAAAAAACTAGTGTCAGAAAGCTTTGGGAACCACAAGTTCAGAGCCAACTGATCATCCCAAATGACTTTCCACTTGCTGTAGGTCATTCCCTTTTTCTTTAATCCATCATCACAGATCATTCCATCACCTCCCATGAATCTGCCCATGCACTTCTGTATCTGACAATTCAGGTTTATGTGGCACAGGTCAACTGCTTGCTGTCCTTCCCTAACACACGCATTTCTTATTTGGCAAAGTAGTCTATAGTTGATCCAGCTAACATTATAAGCTCTGCGTATAGTAAGTCACACATAGACCCCTAACCTACCACACTGTTGTGCATTAACATGCTGATTTGCTGTGGCTTAAGTGCTGCTCTGCAGTTTTGAGAAATTCAGCAATTCAAATGCTGGATTTCAAACAATTCATATACAGTATATGCTG